GCCAGTCTACGGTGCCTTTGCGAAACTGGCCAATGAAGGAAGAGTGAGGAAACCCCGCCCCCCGCTCCATCCCGCCAATAAGGTGCAGGGGGGAGTTTTCATTTCGACAAACCCGGAACTCCACCGGACGCAGAAATCAGAATAAGAAAGAACTACTAGAAGTGAATTTGTGAAAGAATGAACAACCACAGTTTTTTTTTTAAGAAACCACTTTGTAAACACATGAACAGAAGCTAACATGTAAAGGTAAACCTCTCTCCCCTTACACCGCCCACCGGGGACTGGCAACGAAGATGACCGCCGCAGACACGCCGGGAGAGTGAAACCAAAATGAGAAGGCCCGAGAAAATGCTCAACTTTATGATCATTTATGGTAAGTTTTATATTTTATGTTTCAGCAAAGAATTACCTATAGATCGCAAGTGTGTTTGGTTTGGTAAGTATAGTTGCATTCATTGGTTTCAGTTCCAGTAATGGACGCCATTTTGAGGACTTTTTATTGTTCCAGAAATGGTTGGCATTTTGTTCTGTTTTTTCCATTATTTTTTAGCATTTGTTTATTTTTTTCAGGGCAGGTTATGGTTAGGATTAGGGTTAGGATACAGTGAATTTGGTTAACTTTGGGCCATGGAACACTTGTCCTGCCTTGGAACAAACTGCCAAACATTTAGGCAATTCAGCAATATTTTGTTAGTTGCTATGGTCCATGTTTTTTTTTTTTTTTTTTTTTTTTTTTGTCACTCTGAAACCAATGGATTAGCTCAAATATCACTATAATGCATAGACTTTCGACTTCTCTCCACCAGGGGGCGACGACCTTATGAGCACATTTTAGTTTCACTTTCGGTTTACGTTGGGCGGCCATCTTGCTGCACAGTCTGTGCCTGACTCTAGTGCTGCTACTAACATGGAAGACCAGCGAGACGAAGTAGATCAGGTAATATCTCCACTATCAATATTTATATATTTTTTAAAAACATCAAGGAAACAAACCCACAAAGTAAAAACACCCCAAATATATGCTTTAGCTTCTTCTTAACAATTCTACGTAGGCAACTAATCAACATTTATAGAAAGGACTTTGGCTCTCCATAGAAACCAGCACTTCTACAGTTGTATCTCAAAAAAACACTTCAAAAAAAAGAGCCACACTTGAACTGAAATCGATGCATACGATTTTCAGAGAAACCCCCCGAATGTTACGTCTGTGAGCTGTTATCTTAATACTCTTTTTCTGGATAGTACTACACACTATATATTATAACAAATATGATATTTTTCATATATTTTTTAACTAGAAAAGTAACCGTTTGGTGTATGATACTTCACTTCAAATGGCATGTTCATATTTAACAATATGTAACTATACAGTGTTCTTTTTTCTTTACAAATCTAAGTATAGAAAGAGTATTTGGGTTCACAAATGTAGCTACGGTCAAAGCGTCAGAATGACATCAGAAACAGTTCGTGGGACTCGATGACGCAGCCAGACACAAAGCACCACATGGATTCTTCCGCTGCAGAAAGTAGTCCCCCCCGCGTACGCTACACCGGCACAAACAGATTTTCAATGACACTTTTTTGGGGAAACAAAAGTCTAATTGCAAGATCTGGGTGAAATTGTGGTACCCAAAGTTTGCATTTAGTCTTAGAAACGTCAGCTAGGGATTTGTTTGCGCTACTATCTTAAAAATCTGCTCACGACTTGCATAATTTGACTAAGTAGGCATATTTAATTACAATCCACAATCCGATTCAACAACTGCTAACTGCTTTAGGATCTACTTATCTCTCTTAAGTAAACTTACCATTAAGCTTATTATCTAACATTGGACCACTGGCAAAACAGTATCTATTGTTTTCTAGTTATGCTAATGTACTACACTCTACAACACTACTTTGAGCTAATTTGAACTAATCCTACTTTATTTACAGTCGGTTAAATAGTCTTTGTTATCGTCGACAATCATTCTTCCAAGGTTTTTAGCATTATCTTATTCATATCTTAGCAAAAAACGCATACAAAATTCACATGACCACACACAGAGATTGAGTATAGCATTGATTTTACAGCTTCTACGTCAGCAATAGCATTAGGACTAAAGTTCGGCGTCACCTCGCGTTCTTGTAAACATAAATGCTTCCCTAAAAAAGTGTCATCAAGTTTTTAAGGATAGGATTAGACGGAGAAAGCTGGAAAGCTGTGCCGATTTAACGTACGCATTTTCTGATATATAAAAAAAAAAAGTCACTGTCCAATTTGCATTTTTTCTCTCTACATGATCAGAAAGAACCGATGGACTTCGATGGATCAGGCGATGTGATTTTCGTGTTTTTTGTCTTTTTCGAGGATTAGTTGACAAAATAGCGTAAAGGCAGCCTTATCTTTAAAATGTGAAAAGTCCTGGCTAATGAGCTATAAGAACGATGAGTCTTCCTAAAAATGTCCCTACCACATGTGACATCAAGTCTGTTTAGTTGCAGAGTGCATAGATAATTTCAGTGGACGGACCATTCTTTAAACTGTGGTTCTTCATGTCTCTTCTGCCTCCCAGTTGGAAGTTGGCGTCAAAAACTAAAACTCCGCCCCGCCTTCGTAATTTTTTTTTTTTTATCGGTATATTTTTCTCTTTTTACGACGCGCCTGTTTTTTAAAAAAGTAGGCCAAGGCGAATCAGTTGTGAGACTCTCCAAAACTAACCTACAGCTACGAAAACGCTAAAGCCTGCATATGATCACTGCATGGGAGGAAAAAATGGCCGACTTTTTACCCCATAGAGACTTCACAACAGTAAGTTGCCATGATAAATACTCTTTGTAATATATGAGAAGCTGTCTACAGAGATGGACAGAGGTCGCGTGGGTAGGAGCCCTGAATCAGTCTTTTTTTTCAACCTGAAATAAATGATCAAGAAGTAGTGTGAGGTGAGTTCTGTACAAGATATTAACAGTACCAACTGCAGTTTTGTACAGGCCAGGAGCACTCTCGTCTTTCCGCTTGAGCAGTAGTCTACCCTGAACTTTCAAAACAAGTTGTGCTTCACCCAAAAGTCCCGCTACCGCACTGCCTTATGGGAAACAGTTCCATATCGGGGCAGTTACGTCCTTCCGCGATGCGTCCACAGTTGAGGACTTTTTCCATTTGTGAAGCCCTGGAGCGGTGAGAGCAGGAGAGGAGCGGGGGAGAAAGACAGGAAGTCCCACAAAACTCTGATGGTGAACAGAAACTGGGTCACATCGATACTCGTCCACCGCCGCCAAGTCCCGCTGTCTCCTGATCAAAGAGCACTGTGTTCAAATCATACTTTGGTTCAAGTTAGAAGAAGAAGAAAAAAAAATCAATATTCATAAACTTTGACACCCACAGCACGTTTCGCTAATTAGCAAGTCCTTCCCAGCGACTGTGGGTGAGGAGGCCAAAGTCTTCCTGAAGTCTCGATGTGGGAGGGGCAAAATTATGGATCTGTTGGGTTGGTTTGCACAGGGGCGGGTCCCGAGGGAGGGGGGAGCAGTTCACACGAAACCATCACACTTTCATCATAAACACATGATCACATGTTACAGTACAGTTCAGGGACACACGCGGAGAGGGGCTGCCCTCCCCCTCTACTCCCTGACATCACCACAGCCCATAGAATAGATATGTATATATATTTATATACAGAAAATGAATACATATTGGACACCCTAGACATAAAGTACATTCAAAGAACTGAACCAACATTCTTGTTTAAAACACATTACAGTGACTCTCCTGATAAAAAAGAATTAAGGTTTTGCTTTCACCAAACTCTTCAAAACTCCTCCGTGCCGCACACAACAGAACACACAGAATGGTACATATTCTCAGAATACATTGACAAATAAATCGACATTTTCAGCCCTCGTTCTTTGTTACCGCTGGATGGGCACTACCGTTTTCTATAATGTTTTCTCTAGAGAGTCAGTTAGCCTCAGGCTTGTGTTTTGGTTTTGCACCTGCGATGTACAATGGGATTACTGGAGTATAATTCAATTAGTTACATGGACGATGAGGAGTTATTCTCGTGCATAGCGCCGCGTCAGTTGGTCTTTTTCTAGCGGCACACAGTGACACAAAGGCTTGGGCTCTGGAGTTGGCAGGTGAGTAAAACCGGCGACAGTGTCAGTCTTTGAGTCTGTTTTTCATGTTTTAGACGCCATTTTCTTAACTAGTCCACAGTCAGTGAGCTCTGCTGGGGCCTGGAGAGGGGCAGAGCGAGGAGAGCTGCCGCCGCGAGTCACCCCCCACTCCCCAACGCTGTAAACCGGACCAACAGGCCCAAAGAGACTGGGAAGGGGCGGAGCCCAGTGGTGCTGCCAGCGAGGAGGAAGTGACATCACGACAGAATCCACAGGGGACGCCGCTAACAGTATTCTGCTGCAGCCGCTGACCTCGCGCTAACATGGAAGAAGAAGAACGAAGCGACGCCAGCGGCCGCCAGGAAGGAAGGAAGTGAGGAAGGAAGGAAGCGAGGAAGGAAGCAAGGAAGGAAGCGAGGAGGGAGGATGCAGGAGGGAGGGTGGAAGTACAGCAGAAGAGCCTGGATCAGCCCCTCCCTGCCACCTTCCTTTGTGTTTTATTCTTTTTTCAATGTGCCTTGGAGAAAAGTGGCCGGGGGAGAGTGAGCCCTCCTCGTCCTTCCACAAACTTTAGATCAGCATCAGAAGGGCCAACTGTTCATCTCCCTTACCAAAAAACATAAAAACAGATTTGTACATATATACTGATTTATACACACTTTTTTACCATGTAAATCACAAAAGTATAGAAAAATAAAATGTTTTATAATAACGCGACACTTTCTCTCTCTGTCTTTTTCTACTCAGAAGGTGGTCCCAGGTGGAAACTGGCTCACTCCGGTGGGTTTGTGGCTGGTTTGACAGCGCGTGCGCTCCAATGTCCGCCTCGCCTTCCCTCGTCCAGCCTCCAGAGGGAGTCTTCTGTGATATTTTCCTAAAGCTAGTTCTCCTCTCGCCTTCGCCGGTTTCATCTGTGATGTCCATCAATACTGAGTACAGCTCCTCCTTTATTTACTGCAACAGGAGAGAGAGGAGAGGAGTTACTACACAAGACAGGACAATGGTACTACACATACTACTACTACTACTACTACATGCTCATGGATCATGTTACCACAATGAGATTCTAATCAAAACAAAAGAGAACAGACTAATGTTTACAAGTGGAAATGTCAGAAAGTAAATATCTTATATTAAAGACACACTATGTAACTTTTCTGGTTCTGCTCGTCTTATGAACATGCTCTTCACCAGAAAAGTTAGATAGTGCAGCTTTAAAGCAACTTGGCTGAAAACTGCAGCTTTACAAATATTCACAGTTTCAAAGAAAAATGCTAATTAAGAAACGTAACTTAGATGATTTAAATATCAGTGTAAAATTTTGCAATTTAGAACACAATGATCTACAGAATTACAGTCGCTAAAACTGAGCACAACTGAAGTGAGCATTTACACATGTAGTGGTCTTCATTAAAAAAACAAATCTTGTTTTGTTTGAAGAATCATCGTGCATTGACAGAGACACAGGACAGGGATTTTGGTTGATTTTTGCTGTTCCAATCTGGAGAAATTGCTTCATTCCTCCATCTTCATCTGGTGGTATCTTCATCCAACGACCCTCCTCTTCCTCCCAGCCATCACATATGTTCAGTTTACAGAAATATAAACACAGATTTTATTGACAAACCACCTGTACTCGGCACATTCCTTTTTGGTGGAAGAAATTCACAAGAATAAACAGCATAAATATAAAGTTCTACAACGTGATGGTGCCAAAATTTTAATGAAATGTACTCCGAGAGAAACAGGTTGGAAGAACAATCTTGAAAGTGAAATCGCTGAGATCGCTAAATTACTCAAACATGCATGGATGACATCTAAATTAGCACAGTACCCCCATTTTAACCAATGCTGACTCAGTGCTTGGTGAGAGTTCTTTGCTTTTTGCTGTCACCAGTGTACAGCTGTTCAGCCTGAGTATCATAAATGTGAGATAAGAAAGACAAAAAGGAAACCCATCTTTTGAAAGTGTCCTCAATCTGACAGTTTGGGAACAAGTTTTTTTTTGTTCTAGTACATACACAGACATGGAGGGGGTTGAAGGAGGGAGGAGAGGGAGGAGAGTAAACATCCCGGGACCCTCGTCATGACAGATGCTGCTTAATTCGGACTGATACCGGCTGTGCGTCTCCGAGCAGCTCCCGACAGGAAAAATTAACGGGATGGAAAAAGACGAGACTCATTTGCAAAGCGGTTTGAGAGCAGAGCACTGGTGAGACTGGAGCACGCTCTTCTATGGCAAGCTCAATCTATGTCAACAGAAGAACAAGTGCGGGGCTGCACGCAGGGAGGGGCCACGCTTCAGATGGAGACGTGTCAGAGGAGCGTGAGGTTTAAAGGGCCTATGTATTATGATAATGAGTCTGTTAACCATGTCATGATGTTTTATGCACATCTAAAACATACTGTACCTACACTTGTGTTTTGATTCATCCACACGTGTTTCATTAATCCTGTTTATGATCTTTCTCACTGCTCTGAATTACTCCATTGTGGTTCTTATGTAACAGCATCAAAGTGGAAATGAAAAAGCCGTTTTAGAGCTTCACTTCACATGTGTTAACTGTGTGTTCTCTACACCTCTCCAAACACGATGGGCCTGGTGTTAAATGGCTGCTAATAGGATTTTTCATGGTTGAATCACAGGGATGTAACAATAGCCAAAATATAGTGACATCGTATCATCAAAAGTCTCACAATAATATCGTGGATTGTCATAATATATTGAATTACAAGTTCCTTTGCTTAAATGCATGGTTTTATAGAAGCAACAGCTTATAAACATCAGGAACTACATATCCCATGATTCATTTCAGTGCAAACAACATGAAGAGATATGTTTTTTACTTGAATTGTTGAGATTATGATTGTAATAATTCACACTGAAATCTTGTCAACATATTTTAAAAGCAAAAAAAAAGTGTCCCATCTACAGTTATATAAGCTTATTCAACATATCTCAATAAATATCATACCGTGAGATGCATATCGTGATAATATCGTACCATGAGACCTGGTTATTGTTACATCCCTATTGAATCCCATTGCCATCCGTAGATGCACTCTAACACGAATATTTTTCCTTTATAACAGATTTGAAAGTGTTTTTTCCAAACATGGGCAATACTTAAAGTTATGATATATCATATGAAATGCCAATTTGACCAAAACCATATTTCAGTAAACTTAATAGAACCATACATTTTTCATCATTTCATCATTAAACCACATAGCACATTATGCATTCCTGGGGCTTTAATTCTCTTTCAAACATGCTTTTGGTTACCGTGGGATTAAAATAATACAATCATGTCTTCATTTGGAAAACATACTTTATAAACTACCTCTGTTTCCAGTGAAATGAAGCAGAAGAAGTTCAGGTTTTACCTGTGATGCAACTAAACAGGCAAAATGTGAATTGACTATTTTTGAGGCTCCAAGACAGCTTATTCTCTTTCAAACATGCTTTTGGTCACCTTGGAATTAAATAATGCAATAATGTCTTCATTTGAAAAATATATTTTATAGCACTGTGTAGCACTGGAAACAGTGCTACACATGAAGCAGAAGTTCAGATTTTTACCTGTGACGCAACTAAACAGACAATGCAAATGGAGCATTTTTGAGGCTCTTATTTAATAGATTAATGAAACAAGCGTGCACAAAGTAAAAACAGAGCTCCTTTAACTCATGATAATTTAGTGTAATCAAGTCTGTAGTCTTGATAACGACTCTTTACCTTATCTTTTAAAATACGTAACATTATTAACAAGTTTGTTCCGCTATTGTTGCTGCCATTGCACTTGTTCAGTCCCTGCTGCATTGTTCATGTGGGTAAGCTCTGTAAGCCCCTCTCCATCTCCCCACAGCGCCACTCCCCTGGTGTCCACACTGTCGGGTCCACTGTGTTTGGTTCTGCTGCAGCATCAGCCCTCCTCCTCTCACTCTCTCTTCTCCTTCCCCTCTCCTCTCCCTGTCCTTTCTCCCCCTCTCCTCCTCCACCTCCTCCTCCATCTATTTATCTCTGGCTGAGTCTATCCATCTCCTGCGCCTCGGTATCATAGCTCAGATTTCACGGGGGATGCACCGAACAGAAATATCCACGGCGAGCTGCATTCACGAGCTCAGCAGGGAGCCCACACAATACACAACAGCACAGACGTATGGAATATAAAGGTGAGGAGGCAGACTGCAATCCACTGTAGACCAAGACATACACGGACATATGCACTGTGTAAATCAATGCAGTCTCCAAGGAGGGTCTATGGAGCTCGGACAAGAAATATCCTTCTCCGATACAGATAGTGAATTTGCATAGACTATTTTAGGTAAGCGTGCTCACTCAGGACTATAATGTTGTTTTTATATAGCTTTATTTATGCAAAGAAGTTCCAGCTGGATTTGTGGACTCAGATCTAGGTCCTAGCCTCAGTGGAACCTATAGTAGATGCTTGAGTAATAGAGGACACAGGAGAAGAAGGCAATATATATTATGTGGACACTTGTCTCAGTGAAGGCCCCTACATGGTACAAGAATTCGATTCATTATCTTCTCGCTGGTGGATGACGTGCAAACTGCTGAGATTTTATTAAAGCAGTTACTTACATATGTTTTAGTTCTTCTAGTTTTGACAGCCTTAACCATTTTGCTATACATTAACGTATACACTAAAATGTTAATTAGTGTGTATCATTCGTTCATTCGTTTTTCAATATAAAACCAAAAATAAGAACACGAAAAAACACAATTTTATGTTTAAATGAATAATGGAAAAAAATTGATAATGACTGTTTCCCATTTTCATGACTTAAACTGCGATGCCGGACTTTTGCGCCATATACGGACTGAACCGAGACTAAACCAGGTCCGGGACCAGACCAGGACCAGACCAGAACCAGTCCAGGACTGTGTCTGGGACCAGAACCAAGACTGAGACCGGGACTGAGACCAGGACTGAGACTGGGAACAGGACCAGGACTGAGACCGGGACTGAGACCGGAACCAGACCAGGACCAGACCAGGACTGAGACCAGGACTGAGACCAGGACTGAGACTGCAGTCAGACTGGGACCAGACCGGGACTGAAAACGGTTCAGTCCTGTTTCAGTCATGTTTCTTGGTTTTTGGTTCAGTCCATATGCGGCGCAAAAGTCCGGCATCGCAGTTTAAGCCACGGAAACGTGAAATGGCTGTTTTTTCCATTATTCATTTAAACACAAAATCGAAAACTGAAAAAAAATTTATCGAAAAAATAAATAAATAAATAAATAATGAAGAAAATAGTTGTTTTTTTGTTTTCTTATTATTGGTTTTATAATGAAAACGAATGAACGAATGATACAGATTGTGATCTTATATTTGCTGTATGTTTTCATTATTCAGTCAATCCATGGTTTCAGTCACATGATTTGAAGGATTTGTGAAGATTTTTTACCATTATAAAGACACCATTTTGATTTTAATTGTTAATTGTCATAACAACAGCCAAAATTTTTCATTATTCTTAAACCATACAGAATGTCCAAACGTGATGAAATCTGCATAATGCACATTTTGCCTGCACTGTGTAACTGTGTTTTCTGTGAAAGGTCACCTGCTTGTTTCCATGGAGATGCTATTGCTTTACTAAAAAATTTTCCAGAATAAGCATAGTTTCAACTACAGATTTAGTATTGCTTTAAAGGTAACATGCAAACTTATTAACTTAATATAAAGTTTTAATGACATATTGTGGAACATTTTAGGCAATGCACGTCTCTATGAAGCTGAGCAGGTGGTGGATCCCTCACTGGAAATGTTACACAGTGTACCTTTAAGTAATCTGAAACTGATAACCTGTAACTGGTACATGTTATATTTTTTATTTTCACTATTTTGGTTGATCCTAACTACTTGTGTGATTCAGTGGTGTTCGAGCAAACCAAAAGAAATGTGCTGAAGCTGCGAATACAAA